CTGTTCTTGCTGGCTGCGGTCTGGCATTGGCGGCTCATGTTCATCTTGGAGTCAATAATGACTCCGAGATCCCTTTCCGCCTCTGTGCTTTCAAGAAGGGAACTCCCCATCCTGTACGTATGCTGTGGATTCCTTCTCCCAAGGTGCAGCACCCTGCATTTCTCTACATTGAACCCCATCCTATTCTCATCTGCCCACTTTTGTAGTCTGTCTAAATCTAGTTGCAGCCCCTCTCTCCCTACAAGTGTGTCCACCTCACCCCACATCTTAGTGTCATCAGCAAACTTGGACAGTGTGCTTTCCATCCTCTTGTCCAAGTCACTGATGAAGATGTTAAACAGTGCAGGCCCGAGGACCGAGCCCTGGGGTACCCCACTGCTCACATCTCGCCAGGCTGAGTACAACCCATTTAGAACTTTCAGATTTAAACCCCTTCATCAGGCTAAAGAAGTCTCTGCAGCTGGTGTGTGCTCTTTCTGGATGGAATGAATAGTAAAGAAGCCAGGGGCTGGGCTGGTCTGCATGTAAGCTAGGCAGTCAGTGAAGATGTAAATTGAGGAGTCAGTGGGTGAGACAAAGGCAGGATGGTGGGGAGAAGGGAGATGAATGTAGCAGTTAAATAGTGGAGAGGTACCTGGGGAGTCAGATGTCAGGCAGGTTATAATGTGTCATAAATCCAATGTCTATATTTAGTCTAATATATTTCTTAAAAGTATATTAAACTAAGTATATTAGACAGTAGAAAAACTGTACTATACTTAAAAGAAGTATATTAGAATCTTTGTCTCAGTTCTGTTCTCCAAATGTCATATAACACAATTTGAATTCAAGCACAGTGTGGAATGATATTTTTTTAAAGACCAGAGACAAAGGGGACAGCAAGACACTGGTAAAGAGGCCAGCTGTTGATATTGTGTCTGATCTGTTCCACCACGAAAGAAGGGCTAACCAGCATATTAATTATTAAAGGACATATTTAGAAGGAGGTGCTTAAAACAAATGTGAGGATGCAGGAGAAAACAAGTTATGAAAGAACTTAGAGTGTTTATAAGTATGAGCAGGAAATGACCAAGCAGAATTCATGTAAGAAAAACCATTAGTATGGCCTAACTGGAGAAAAATAATTTGAAATACAAATTCAAAGCAATGGGAAAATTTGGAAAGCAGTAATATCATATTATTAACTTGTTTGATAATTTAAAATAATTCTATACAGTAGCAAAGCAACCTAGAAGTGATTTTGGACACCTAATGAAGAACCAACATAGAGCATGAAAGTAATAGTCTCCCTCTGTCTCTGTCTCTGTCTCTCTCTCAAGTTTTGAGTGCTTGAGAATATTACATTAAATTCTGGATACATAAGTACAAGAAGAGAAAAAAATCTTAGGGGGTGTTTTAGGGTAGTGGGCCAACTTTTTTTTAGAAGTATAAAGGGACTGAGTAAGAGAAAAGATTAAAAGCAATAAATGTGAACAGTAACTGAACAGCAACTAAAATACAAGCATGCAAGTAAAAACACCAAAGAGGAAGAAGAATCTCTTATATGCACAAAGACAGGGAGAAGCTTAAAAAGAAAGATGAAAGTGTAGACCAAGTAATAGGAAAGCTTCCTGACAATGAAACCTCTTTCTGCTGTGGAGGATGAAAAACCTCACTGCTCAACACTATATTGGATAAAGAATTTTGAAAAAAAATACAGTACGGAGTGATCTTCACAATAAGCTGAAGGACCAACGGACAGACTGAAAAAGATATTCAAATGGCTAATTCCTATTGAAAAATCAATGGGTGTTAGCGGCCTGTCTCACAAAAAGGCCCTCCTAATAGATATCACTGCTCATAATCCAGGAACTGATCTCTAGAGGTGCACTAATACATTGGTCGCATATCAGATCGGTACCAATACAAGGGAAATTGACAGCATTGGCAATCGGCTTTTTTGACTGATGTGGCCAATAATGTTGCCAGTAAATGCCCTGTGCACGCCCGCAGCCCAACACCGTGGAGAGCAACCTTCAGCTGGTAAGTCTATTGTGGAGGAATGCGGTGGGGGGAGAGGCAGATCGAGGCCCCCCCCCACAGTGAGGGAGGGAGTGGAGCAGGAGCAGAGGCAGATGCTGCACAGCCAGGGTGAGGTGTGGCATGGAGCATGAGCGGCCAGGGAGCACGGGGAGGGAGTGTCGGCTTCTGCTGCTATGCCTCCCGGGGTGCGCATCGGGGGCTTGTGCCCCTGGATCTGTGCATGGGGTGAGGGCGGGCTGCCGCTGCAGGCTGCTGCTGGTGGCAGTGCTGGGCTCTTCCCAGCAGGAGGGCTGGGCTGAGGTGCACTTGAGGTGGCTGGCAGTGGCACTGGGTGGGGGGTATTGGGGGGGCTGCAGTGAATTCTGCGGTGGCTGCAGGCCCCCCATGTAGTCCCTCCAAGCACAGCCACGCCTAGCCCCTCACTGGGAAGAGCCCGGCACCGCCCCGGCCCCTGCCTTCAATGGCAACCCACCCTTGACCTGTGCAGATCCGGGGACACATGCCCCCCCATGCATGTAGCAGTGGGAGCCACCCCTCCCCCACCCCAGATGAGTCGCTCACAGCTCGGTTCCATGTCCCGCCCTGCCTGTGCAGCCCCTGCCCCAGTCCCATTCTCTCCCTCATTGCAGGGGCCTCAATCTGCACCTCCTACGCCCCTTCCCTCCCCCACAACAGACTTACCAACTGGAGGTCACTCTCCAAACTGCCAGGCTGTATATCGGCAATTGGATTGGTATCAGCATATATGTCTCGTTAAAAATCAGCCATCGTTATTGGCCCAAAAAATCTCTATCGCTACACCCCTACTGATCTCTTATGTTCATTGCAATTTTTTAAACTAATAATGGTGATTAGGTCATTGGAGAAAGACAGCTGAAAGTCATCAACGTGTTCAAAAGCATTTTGCTCCCATGCACATGACCAAAACAACTAATCTATACATATTATGACTATCATAGGGCCTAGCAGAAATGTGACAGAACCAAAAAACAAATAAAAAACTGAAGTGCAACTTACTTTTCTCCTCTTATCACCACAATTGAAAACTAACAATTTTTCCAACTTCAGAATAATAAAATAACCAAAATTTATAATATTTAAAAAATCTGTTTTTGTTGGAGAAAAAGTTACATTTAAAATACTCTATTTTTAAATGGAAGCAACAATATAATTAAAATTCACTCACCATACTAATGAAAGCAGGGTTGTTTATCAAGCTTGCCATGTCAAAACTTAATCCAGTTCCTGTCTAAAAACAAATATCTAAACATTATTATACCTGTTACATTCCATTTATCATTTAAAAAGACAGAACATTCACCCACTCCCCAAATTCAGAGCCTACTTACAGGACTGGACATATCTCTTAGCTTCTGTTCTGCTATTTTCAAATTTGACTTGTAAGAGTCATTTTCTGGATCAAGATCCAATGCTTTTTGGTAACTGGTAATTGCTTCTTCATATTTATTCATTGAGGTCAGAGCCAACCTAAGGTGAAACAGAGAAAGCCAATGCAGCATATCAATGAATATCAAAGAATTAATTATACAAACAATTTCTGCTCTAGCTGATTCAAGTGAATGAAAGAAAAGAATTTTAAAACTGATTTAGATTTTGATCATACAAAAGTTAAGGTAAGTTTGCTTTCAGAATCAACAGGACCAGAATCTAAACATTAATGTATACTGTTTGATTCCATCCAGTCCTCTTGATTCTGAAGATCATAGAAGCATGGAGAAGGAGGGCTGAAAGATACCTTGCATCCCTATCCAAACCAGCCTATGCAAATCCATTGTCTAACCTCCTAGCAAAACTACACAATCAACCCTGATATAACACCCAAGTAAAGCAGGGGCACCACAGCAGCTAAAGTCCTGTTTCTGTAAAGGTTGCTAATATATACTCTGAGATCCAAGGAAGAGGGCCACACCCCGCCACACACTCCGCCCCCGGCTACAGAGGAAGGCAAAAACCCTCATAGTCCATACCAATCTGACCATGGGGTTACTTTTCTTTCTGACCCCCAATATGGCAATCAGGCTACCCCTGAGCAGAGGGGCAAGACCCTCTAGCCAGGAACCTCTAGGTTTAAGTCACAGTAGGAGTGCTAGCACACCTGATGCACATGACTATTACAAAAGACAATCTATTTGGTCTCAGCAATTTTAGGTCTTCAGCCTTCTGAAGTTGATATCAAAGCTGTCTGTCCTACATCCCAAACCATCAGGACTCTTGCATCCATGGGCAGATGTAGAATTTTGTAAAGCAGAGAGCGGGAGTAACAACCAGTGCTGCAGGGGGGTTGCACCCTCACTCCCAGCTCCTCCAGGCAAGCAGATTAAGCCTCAAAAGCAGCATCAGGGACTTATTTTTAAGTCCCTAAAGCAGGTAGGAATTCCACCCCCACCGCTTTTGGCACCCCCCATCCCTTTCCCTCCATGTTCAGCAGCATGTCCCCTCCCATTTCAACTCCCCTCACCTGCTGTTACCAACTGCACCAGAGACAAGAGGAATTCCAGTCACTCCTGCCTCAACTCCAGCCAGGCTGCATGGATAGCTCCCTGGTGGAGCAGCAGCAGTACTAGCAGCAGTGGAAGGGTACCCCCTCGCTAAAGCCCATTCCCAGGCTGGTAGGGAATACCTGGGAGATTGGAAAGAGGAGGAACTGACCCACCACCGCTACTGCCGCTGTTCTAGGCTGAGCTCAGCTCCCTGTGCAGGCCAGCTGAAGTGGGGCAGATGTGGTTCTGGAGCTACTCACTGTGCCCAGGGTAGCCAGACACAGTGGCTGCAGTGGGTCGGGGAGGAGAAGAATGGGACAGGAAGGGACGGGAGAGGATGTGCAACTGAGCATGGAAGGGAAGGGAGGGATTCTTATCTGATTTGGAGACTTTAAAAAGTCCTCAGCTGCTGCTCATGCAGCACTGTCTGAAAGAGCGGGTGCGACCATGCCACTGCACCCTCTCTGGATCCGCATCTGTTTCAGTCAAGGTCAGGGCAAGTTTATCTCTACTGATCTCAATTTTTCTCAGACAACTTGATTAATGGAATATAAAGAGCACTAGAGAGATTTGAGAGAGTCTATTAATAAGCAAAAGGGTTTTTTTACTAGGAAATTAAGATTTTTTCTCTACCTGGGTCTTAAAGATGTAGACTTTTATCATTTTGATCTGGCCGTTAACCTGCCTCCAGTTTCCCTCCACTCTCACTGACTGGTATTCACTGACATCCAGGGAAGGTTAAGCTAAAAATGTGAACACACATAAATAATGTAGATATGAAAAGGTCTAAGTGGGACCAAAACAATCCACTAGTCCCTATGCTTCTACAGAAAGAGACCATAGTTCAGTTTCTCTCAATATGACAACTGTCCAAATCAGGGGTGGGCAGGATGCAGCCTGCCAGGCCATTCTATCCAGCCCTCGGGGCCTCTAAAAAATTTAGAAAATTAATATTTATCTGCCCCTGGCTGCCTGTCATGCAGCCCTTGATGGCTTGCCAAAATTAAGTAAGCAGCCCTCTGCCCAAAATAATTGCCCACCCCTGGTCCAAATGGATCCAAGGGGCAATGGCCACCATGACAGTTACAAAGCATATTCAACTAGGTCTAAGGTAGCCTCTAGGCCAGGCCTTCACAGTCTACTAGTTACTAAAATATACAAACCTACTGCATGCACCTCTATGCAGAGTTGCTCACTCAACTCTAGATTTTATATTAAATTCAGAAAAATAAGCCTGCATAAATTTTCAATCAACATTGTCCAGACCCACTTCCAGAAGGGAAAATGTTACTTGTTAACCTCCCACTTCCCTTTTATAAAACAACTTAGTGCAGGGGTAGGCAATTATATCGGGTGGAGGGCTGCTTACTGAGTTTTGGCAAGCCATTGAGGGCTGCATGACAGGCATCCAGAAACAGATATATATTAATTTTCTAAATGTTTTAGGGGCCCCATGGGCTGAATAGAATGGCCTGGCAGGCCACATCCTGTCCACAGGCCACATTTTGCCCACCTCTGACTTAGTGGTTACAGTATTTACCCAAGTGACAGGATTCCCAGGTTCAATTCCCTTTTCTCCCTGAAGTAACAAATAGTCCTAGATATGTGGTGTGAAGACATACAATTTCTAACTGCACAGATGGTAGAGCACTGTTACAGTTAGAAAACTGTACATTTAATAGGCAAAAATTAGTTCTTAATGCTGTTAGCCTAGAAGACCTAGTACTTTGAAACAGATCTGCATTCTAAATTGTACTAAGTTGTACAACAACTGTTTCAACAGCAGATTTTTTATTACTGGTAATTATACAGTAAAAACAGCTCAATTTCCTAGACTGCATTTGTAGTGCTGGTAAACTGAAAAATAAACCAAAACAAAAAATATCTGTAAACGAAATTATCTGATATGGAGTTACTGAGAGAGGTCATGTATATAGAGTCTTATGCTACTAGTATTAGAATTGTTTTCAGAAAACAATTGCACTTTCAGGACCAGCTCTTCAGCTGATATAAATCAGTATCACTCCATTGATTTCAGCAGAACTTCTCTATTTATGCCTTCTGAAGATCTAGCCGTTAGTTAGGTAAGTTTTTATGAGCTTACCCCATTCTTCCATATGCTTTGCTGTATTTTGGATCTATTGCTATTGCCCTCTTGCAATCCTTTATTGCTTCATTGTACTTGCTGAGCTTACTTTGAGCAGCAGCCCTGAAACAGGAAAAAGTTAGCACTTCATCAAGAAAATAAAAGTCTGACAATCCAGATTTAGACCCCACACAGCCAAGTTCTTAAAACTACACTAAAACCTTAAGCACGTGCATAATTCAATAGGCTTCTCCGTGTCTCTGTAAAGTATCTCGGCTTGCTCAAATCCAATGATCCTGGTCATATGCTTAAAGCAAGCACGTGCTTATTATACTTTGCTGGAATAGGCTTTGGAAAAATAGATTCAGATATACAAATACTTTGAAAATTCATAGTAGTGTAAAAACATATTAGAAAATTGTCTAATATTTCCATGTTGGATTGAGTATGGCTATTTTATATCCCAGCTAGATTGTGTCTGTAGTGGCTATATATACTCCCAACTAGTTTGCAAAGCCTCATCTTCCCAGGAACCTAAACCTGCAAAAAGTACCCCCATTCTGCTGTAATACTCCAAATGAAGATTCCCGAACATTTCTAAATCTTTGATTTATACCTGCACCTTTACACTAGAGTAACTAATTATTTTATATACCACCTGTGACTTGAGACTAGAGACTAGGCCAGGCCACAGAGATTCATGTTCAAGCTTTCCCCAATGTTTGCAAGGATTCAAAACATTCCAGTTTACGTCTGGTCATAGCTAAAACAGCATACTATATAAAGATTATTTAATTCTGCAAAGTATGCTATGCTACTTTTCTATTAAAGCTGCCTTACAAAATAAAGACCATTCTTGCTGTGTCCCCTGAATTGGATGCCTTGCCAGGGTTTGATTAAATTAGTTCCATTCCTAATGGATTGTGTTTATTGTCTTTACCTACAAGGCTGCTTAACTGCAGTGTCATGGAATCAAGGATAGTATTTGGCTCTGTGTTTTAATTGAAATGCTGAAATACAACTAAAATATAACACACTATAGCCATAATATTTGTTACAGTAAAAAACTGTATGCATTTCATTTTGAAGTGCATACAACAGCCAAAGAAATATAGGCCCTCACTTTGTGTATTATGTTAGTTCTGATCAACTCATCTCACAAATTTACTAATTTAAAAACAAACAAATATCCATTGATGAAAGAAAAGGTCCTTCTGGTTAAAGAAAAGGTCCCATTTACTACTGATTCTGGATCAGATCTTTTTATAATTTCTATAAAAAATATTTTAAATTGCTTTAAAAAAAAAAAAAAAAAACAACAGTCCAGAGTCTTACCAAAAATATAGAAGTCCACAGTATGCAGTTAATTAAGACAGATACATTTAAAACATATCAATCGATCCCTTTTCAATTTGCATTACCACACTGATGTCTAATGTAATTATTCTCTGACAAACAGGACATTAACTTTACCTTATTTTTTGATCTAGTTTACAATTTTCTCCTTAAAATTTCAAGTTTAGCATTTCGTACCTGTTGCAGTAATAGACTGCATTATTTGGATCCAGTTCTATGGCCCGTGTATAACAATCCACTGCAGCACCATAATTTTCTTCTTTCATGTGATTATTACCTGAAATAAATTATAATCTTTTAAGTAAACTGTGAAAATAAATTGATACATCGAAAAGATAAAGACATAGCTTAACAGCTATACTACACTACTTGATAAAGTAATCATGACTGTGGCGTCTTCTGCAATTTATTTTCAGAACAAGATCTTGTATTATAACATGGAACAGAAAAGTATACTTTTTCGACACTTTTGCTCTATAACGTAGCATGACACAAAATGCTGAGCCTTCTACCTTCATTTCATGAATTTACATACTTACCAGACAATTCCCTGGTATTAAGCAGAGACCAGTTTTTTAGTAGTTGGTCCAATGAGCTGTACAATAAAAACAGATCAAGTACAATTCTGGACTGTTCATTCAGACTATTCCAACAGGCCCCATAACAATGTGCTGCATGCTCTCTTAATTTTAAATACCCATAATTTGTCTATCCTGTAAGCATCAACTAAGAAGCTGAAAATAAGAACAACAAAGCTGGACATGCAAACCCACAATCCTACACAGCTCTCCAGTAGCTCATTCACAGAAACACTGAAAAAAAAAAAACACAAAGCAGTGGCAACATAAGATTACTCGAGGTAATTTTCTTAGCACAGAAGTTGGTCAAACTGAATATCAGAAAGTTGGTCAATTCTGAATATCAATTCAAAAGCTGGTCAATTCTGAATATCAGAACTTCCTAAAGAACAGACAGTTTGAGAGTTTCATTCCCAAGTGAAACAAAACTAGAAATTTAGAAATTTCCTATAGAAGAAAATTATGAAAAATAAACTGTTGCTTTAGAGGGGGGGGGAAAAAAAAAAATCAAACTATTTTGGTTACCTTCCCTGCTTCCTCCCCCACAAAAAATGGGGCAGTCCAGGGAGTCCTGTCAAAGAGGAAGGGATGCTGTCAGCTCCGGGAGCAACATGACAACAAAAGCTCTCAGGCTGTCCCAGCTATGCTGCAGGGAGCCTTGAAGGCCAAGTCTGCATGGTGCAGTTGCTCCAGAGCCTGCAACCCCCAGTAGCCTGGCACGTTTCAGCTGCACTGTCTTTGTTTTGACAAAACACTCAGCTCTAATGAAGAGATTTTTAGACCAAAATTATATTGCTAGAAAATTCCCAGTCACATCTCTCAACATCAGCATAGCTGATGCATCACTAGTCATCTCGGGACCTTTTAGGAGACTAGAAATGCTTTGTAGCCATGAAAAGGAAAGCACTGGAGTAGGATCACAAAAATGAAACGGAAGTAGTATACTTGTATGAAAGTTGGAACTCCACAAGCTCCCACCCATTAGGAAAGGAAAAAGGTCAGATTCCACATGAAAAGACATACAAAACTGAAGAGCTTGGAAAACTGACTGTGGTAATAAAAGGAAAAACAAAAACGACTGTGGAAAAAGGATTGCCCCACAAAGGGCAGAGGCAGCGATGATCCGACACAGCTCCAGAAACTATTGAGCTCTGTGAAGAAAACCTTCCATCTTAACCACTGGGTAGTGAAGGGACCAACAACCACAGTATATTTTTAGCTCTGTAACCTTATTATGTATAAGAATTGTTTGACAAATTAGCAAGTTCGCATCCATCTTGGAAGGAATGTACATATCTGACATATTCAGATGAGTATAACTGGGAGCAAAGCTTAGTAAAGGTAACTAAGAGACAGTATATGAATGTGGACCATAATGTCTATAAAATGAGTGACGGACTTAACTGAAAAGTAGCTCACACTTCTCCATTAGACAGATCAGGCATCCCCCAAAGCTGAGGGGAAAGCAGTGGTGGTTCAACATGTTGCTGTAAATGTAATAACTGCATGGGCAGAAAGTAAGCAATTCCATGCAGTGCAGCAGGCCAGCTCTGACAGAGAGACACTGTACAGTGAGCAATTTCAGTCTTGGACATTGACAGGAAATGCCAATTGTATTTTTGTAGTTAATATTTTCACTATCAATGAAAAATGACAATATTCTTATTACCACAGGTAACATGTCATCAGTGAAGTTCTCAGTTATGTAACAGACCTCAACTAGGAGTAGTAATATATGAGAGGTAAGTGAAAGGCAAAATAAAGTTCTATGCTCTCCGTTTATGCATCTAATGTAACAATGTTCATCTCTTATTTTTAACAAGAGTCTCAGTCTATGCACCATTTTTTTTGGCTTAATCCAAGTGTCTGTAAATGTAAATCATAAGTAATAAGACACATGCAAGTTTGCTCCATGCAATACAAAAAGCCTAGCTGTAATCAGCTGAGGAGAGACGGAATTTGTGTAAATGTATCATATCAAGGCCCTTTAAAACCGGAATCTCTGCTTCTGCTCTGAAGAGAAGATGGTTTGACATATAGCTAAACTCACAGCTGGGATAAGTGAGTGCCAGTCTTGCTTCCCTCAACTTTGACCTTGACTCAAAGCACGTAGGCGCCCAGCCAGAGGTGCAAGTTCTTTCTGAGGATATAAAGTTTGGGATTCTGCACTAGAGAAAAGTAACAATGACACTTTATTTCAGTGCCAGAAAACATCCTTTAAGAAAAAGAACTTTAGGGATGAATTTTGTCTCCTGGGACTGAAGCACTAATTATTTAATACTTAGTATTGGCCACATACCTTAATTAAGGTCAAGTCTACCCTAATTACTTTATAAACCCATACACAGTTCCATCTCCAATGGAATTACAAACTAATAAATCAAGTAATAAAGTTGGGGAAAAGAGATATAATTAAAAATATATTATTTTTGTCATTTCAAATATTAAAAATCACTGAGGGAAAATAAAGTGTCACCTATCTTCATTTTTTCCTGTCATAATTGGCATCAGAACAAAAGAGGGAGCTGAGGAGAGGGTTAGTAGTCTGATGGACGAGTTCAAGCTATCCCATGCATAAAGGGTCATGTGGAAGAAGGCCTGGAGATAGTTGTATGAGAAGGTACACAAAACTGGTGGTTGTGCTGGAGGACAGGAGGCAAGGAAAGCTGACATGAAAAGATCAGGAAAGGGTAGAATTGTGAAAGGCCTTCAACAGGGTTACCAACCCAAGACATTTTTTTTGCTGACAATTTGCAAACCTTTTACCAACAGTCAAACATTCTTCCTGACAAATATTTTTACTAACACACATTTTACATAATGTAAATGTAACACTTCTGCCAAGCCATGGACAACAGTACCAAGGGCCCCATTCAAATGTAGGGGTTTAACACCAACTTTCTAAATCTGACTCAGGCCTCCATCCAGAAGCCTGAGAGAACAAATTTTACCTGGGTGTTCTAAAGTGAACAAGCTTCCTTGCTAACAAGCACTGCTCAACTAAAACAGGGTTTATTAGAGGGGAAAATGGGATAAACATGCAAACTGAGAGAAACCCTTAACTATTAAACATTAAGTGAAACCCAAACAGTTAATAACCTCAGTCACTAGCAAACCAACCAAGGTGAGCTACCACCTACCCCAGCTGACTGGGAAGAAAAACACACCCACAGCTACCACCCTGGTGCTATACCACCTATGCCAGCCAAAAGTGACCCCCTGAACAATAAGACCGTGGGCCACAAACAGTAAAACAGGTAAAAGTAGCCCCCAAATGTTTGAACTTCGCATTCTAACATGGGTATGTGTCATGGGCCCTAACATGCAGCCCAGCCAGGACTAATTGCCCAGTTGGTTAAAATGGCCAGAGGCTATAGAGCTCACTGTTCACCAACCAGTCAATCTCACTTGACTGATGGATTGACTGCCAGAGGCTCCACAATCTCAGTCTGTCAGAGGCTCCATGATCAGGAGCAGTAGGACACACCTGGCTGGCCTGAGCCACGCCCCCTGCTGCTCAGGCCAGGCAAGTGGGGTCCAAGCCCAGGTGGCTTGTCTGGTAGGGGGCGCAAGGGCCGTAGATCCTGGGGTGCCCTTTACTTACAAAAAGTGATCTTTACCCTAAAAGGTTGGAGACCACTGCTCTAACTGGTAGCCCCATCCGGGCTGATGAACCAGCTGGCCACTGGCAAGGCTTCCTGATTGGCTGCTGGGGAAAGCAGCTTCCCCATTCAAGTCCACCTCTGGCAGCAGACTGCAGGCCAGCCAACAGTTCTGCCTCAAAATCTATGGTGGTAGGCCTCACTGGATCCTGTGTTCTTGGGTCTCTGACTCCTGAGGTTGCTTGGCTGTTTCTGGACTCTGGCTGTTTGGAAATTCCCCTTGGTTTTGGTAACAGAATCTCTGACTCTAGAACCCTGATTCAGCCTGTGACTTGGACTCTGCTCTTGGGATTCCCCCTTGGTTTGGATAGCTTGGACTCCACGTCTGGCTTTGGCCCTCCTCCAGTGGTTTAACCACTATACCAGAATGCCTGTGACCTAGTCTTTATAGTATGCCTCAGTGTATGAAGCAGATTGCCTGGGGCCATGCATCTCTGCCTATTTTTGAAATGAGCAGCTGTTACGGGCAGGTGAAAACTGACAGGATGCAGCTCCAGCACATGGCTAGGAGTGGGGGAAGGACAGAGGCTCCCATAGGCCACAAAGCCCTGATAGAGAACTCCCTGTAAGGCACTGACCTGCACTCCTACTTGGACACAATGTGCTGCTTCTCTGTTCTATATGTCCATCAACATTTGCAACCAGCCTCACTCCAATGTTGGATCTTCAATCAAGCTCAGTTGTTGGTTTGCTTTTACTGGTAACTTTTTTTTTTTTTTTTTTTTTTTTTACACATGACAAGCACTTTTAGCTTTATTTTTAGGGGCAGTTGATAACCCTAGCCTTGAAGACAAGGGCATGAGAATTAAATTTGGTTGGGGGGGCAGAGAGGGGGGCACAACGACAGATGCTTTTAAGGCACTTCCAACCATCTCAATGACTCCAACATCCATTCTGTTATTTCAGATAAACTAGTTATCTGTAAGTGAGGCTACCCATTGATCTGGAATGGATGCTGCTACAGAGCCCCATCCTAGGAGGCCCAATGACTGCAGGTGGTTGGTAAAGTGAAACACCTTTATCGGTGCTACCATATT